GTATTTGTGCCAGAGTGGTATCAGAAAATCTGGAAATCATTCATATTAAGCAGCTAATAGATGAAAGAAAATGGAGAAAAGTGTCAGCAAATATTCCTGATGCTATTTCCCAAGATACTCGCTGTTGAATAATACAATAAGTATTTGTACTTAATAAGTATTTGTACTAGTTGTACTTAAGTGTCACATATAACACAAACAAAAAAACTGTGTGAGATTGTCAGATCCTCATATTGTTAAAAAATCCTCCATCATATATATATATATATATATATATATATATATAATGTTGAATTGCAAAATTAAGTATGAAAAAAAACTCTAGTGCTCAATATTTATATATATATATATATATATATATATATATATATATAAAACTAGGGTTAAAATAGGAAACTAAAATGATACATATGACACACTCATATCCTCTCTCCCACTTCTCACTTCATTAACTTTATGTATACTTGATGAGGTCCGTAAAAAACGTGTGAATTTTTTTCATTTTCATTTCAGCTTTTTGGAAGTAAAGTCTGATGATCCAGAACCCTGTTAAAGGGGTTATGGTGAAATAGCTTATTACATGGAATCTTAACGTATCTGTCTTTTTATTCAAACATATCTGCTCTGAATTTTACATTGAGCTCTCTGGATATCATCCTCCTCAGGTCTACCCAGAGGATTACCTAAATTTGATAAACTATATATATATATATATATATATATATATATATATATATATATAAATATATATATATATATATATATATATATATATATATGTGTGTGTGTGTGATAAAATATATCATATTTATAGGTTAAATTGCTCAATATCAGGGATAGAGTATATGTAGATATAAAAGTGGACATTGAAGTCAAAACCCAGAGGCAAAAGTCTGTTTCATTCTAAATGCAGTTGCATGTATCATGAAAAAGACTGTCACCTCTTGGTGTTGACTTCAATGTTCACTTTTATATATATTATTTTATTTAGATATATATGTACGTGTGTGTGTGTGTGTGTGTATGCATACATATATATATATATACATACATATATATATATATTGGTTTTTAGAGAAGTGTTTTCCTAAATTTGTTCAAGAAAACAATGTGACAACAATAGAATCTTTATAATATCATTGAGAATCTTAAGTCTTTCTTAGCCTAAAGTCCCAAGTGATCAATTCTAAATGCATTTATAAGCTGAGATAGATCTTTCATTAGTGAATCTTCCCTCCTGCTGACAAGATGTTGGCTTGATAAAGGAATAATGATTTTTTAAAGTGTATCAAACAAGTTTTTAAACTGTTCTACCCACGTGCGATCCATCAACCAGGTCTAGTTTCTTTCAAATTTCACAAGAGAATCATTATTTGAAATAAATTCCTTATTTATTGTTCATTAGCTCAAGTCTGTCAGAGTTCAGATAAATGATCTGGGCTACTTAAAACAAATAAATGAAATAAGTGTAACCAGTGAAACAAAGAGAAAATAAAATTTGTAATGAATAGTGACTCAGAATGAGAAATCAGAGACCTGAGTTCAAATTCCAGTCAGGTTCATTGGGAAAAGAATGAATTTATCTCCTCTCTTCAGCTATGGGTTCAATAATCAAAGTTTTATCTGGAAAAATCATTGTTATTCTCGATTCGAGATTGTTAATGTAATATTCACTTGGAAAGTAAGAAATATTCTTCGAATTCTGAATATATTGGTAAAACAGGATCTTGGTCAATAAACTGAGTGACAGCACTTCACCAGACAATAGAAAAATATAGTGATTTTCCAAGCGTAGCTCAGGTGTGGCACAAGGCCAAATGTTTTGGGGTACCCACTGAGGATCGAACTCGCTACTTAGTCATAATTGTTCTAGCAAGACCACGTCTCACTCCTGTAAAGCAGTTTTGAAGAGGATGCATGTTTGGTAAATTAGAGTTTTGGTCTTTATCCTAAGTTCATCAATTTTCTTGAATGCAGCTGTGGCCTTTCCTTATCTGTCTATATTTCTGAGATGAGGTATTATGTACACTATTTACACTATTCGGACTATTGTCCTCATCTTTGTTGTCATATTTATTACAACGTTTCGGCCTTTCATTATCTGTCCATATTTCTGAGATGAGGTATTATGTACATTATTTACATTATTCGGACTATTGTCCTCATCTTTGTCGCCATATTTACTACAACGTTTTGGCCTTTCAGTATCTGTCTATATTTCTGAGATGAGGTATTATGTACACTATTTACATTATTCAGACTATTGTCCTCATCTTTGTTGCCATATTTATTACAACGTTTCAGTCACCTTAACCAGGTATTGAACTCACACTCTTTGGGTCCTGTCACTGGATCTAATTAATGCCTTTATCTGCCGTGCTGTGTCTCCTTAAAAACATCTGTGACAGGACCCAAAGAGTGTGAGTTCAATACCTGGTTAAGGTGGTCAAAAACTTTGAGAGGGGAATTAACAGATAACTGACATCCGTTAGACATGGCATGTGGAACTAGAACAGTCTACCCCAGTGAGTGAAATAAAGGGTTCAGTTCGACATTCTAACCACCTGAAGAAGACCGGAGTGTACAACAGCCGAAACATTGTAATAAATATGGCAACAAAGATGAGGCAATAGTCCAAATAATGTAAATACTGTGACCTTTCCTGTTCTGCTTGTTAATTTTTCATCCATAGATAGGGTTGATGTTATGGCAAATCCCAAGTAAACTTATCTACTGTTTTCAAAGATTCATCACGAAGTTTTATTTTCTGGTGGTGAGTTTGTCACTTGTCTTATTACCTCAGTTTTCTTAATGCTGATTGTCGACCCAAAGAAGTCGCTTGTTTACACTAGACCAGTGCCTCTTAAAATTTTTTCATTCATGACCTCAATTTTCATCATGAGATTTTTCATGACCCTAGGTATTATTACCACAACACTTGTGTAACCCATTGCATTAAATATTGCATGTTTGTGACATAATGTATATAAACTAAAATTTAAGTGTTTGATTTTAATTTGTGACCAATAGTTTAAAAAGTACTGCGCTAGGCTGACTTGTTGCTGAAGCTTGATTTCACTGTTTATGCTATTGCAGCATCATCAGCGAAAAGTAATTCTCTAATCAACACTTCAGTTGTCAATTGTCTAATATCTTCAGAAATTTGTTAGCCAAGGATGATGAGTTAAAACCTTGGCAGGATCACAAGAGTCAGCCATATATATATATATATATATATATATATACCATGGAATATTAGTGTTTAAGCCTTTTTATTATATCCTTACTCTGTCCTGGACATTGAGTTCTACCTGGATTCTATCCTCTTGGAATTATTTTTTATACAAATATATATGTATGTGTATGTATGTATATATATTTAGATATATGATTGCATATGTATGTGTATATTTACCACTAATATTATTCATCTATCTATCTATCTATCTATCTATCTATCTATCTATCTATGTATATATATATATATATATATATATATTTATATATATATATATATATATATATATAAATAAAAAGTGAACATTTGAAGTCAGCACTCAGAAGCGACAGACTGTTTCATGGTGGATACAATCGTCAGGCCGTGAATGCTGAATTTTTCCTCGGCTATTTATATATATAGGTCAGTGATGTATTGTGAGTAATCTATTCTGGTGGCTATTTTTGCGGAAGTCACATGTTTGTTTATTTATTTATTTGTATTGCTGGTAATAATTTTCTTTTCCAAAAATAATAATAATTTTCCAAAAAAGTATTGCTGGTATTTAAACCTATTTTTATACTTTCATAGTGTTTCGACCCCTTTTTTTTGGAGGTGGGTAACTATTTGCCCATAGCTGGGACCCTAACAGTTACCCACCTCCATGACAGGATGGACCTGGGAACACCAGCAATTAAGTGGCGGTTCCATGCTCCTCAAAAACTCCTGATCAAATGTCTTGCTTTCAGATATAGTTTATAACCTTACCCAAGACATGGATATAGTTTATATATGTATGTGTGTGTGTGTGTGTGTGTGTGTGTGTGTGTGTGTGTGTGTATGCTGAATTGGATGTATTTGGTAAGTAATTTTTCATTCCTAACAGTTTAGTTAAAGACCATTAAAAGTCCTTTGTTAAGGATTTTTATTTATTTTTCTATATTTCAAACTATTTTCCTGATTTCAGGTAAATGTTTAAATATAAACTGTCCAATGTCTGTGGACAGTTGACCTTCATAAGTCATTATCAAAGAATTTAGGCTTTTGTCATATGTCTGTTTAATCATTTTCAAATACTGCGGGGTTTTTTATTGTCTTCACACAACAGTACATGTTACGTTGTCATTTTCTCTTTATTATTATCTATTTATGAAATATATTTAGTATGTTTGGTACCTCGACTTTACAAATTTAAGTACAGTACTAGATTGGCTGTTAGGTCTCATCATTTCACTGTTGAAATTGCTAGATGTAACTATATCTTCAATGCTAATAGTTTCTTCTTCAGCATTTCTTGCTCAGGAGAAGCTTTTTGTTTGTGCAAGGTTTTCTAGATTCTTGCTTTCCTGTTAATTTCAGTCTTCAAAAATTTAAATGCAAAGTCAATTGTTATTTTCTGTCTCCTTGAAACCTGTTCTTTTATTGTCCTTTTCTTCTCAATAATTGTCTTCTATATTTCTTTCACACTCAATAACCTCCTTACATCTTAGTGGCTTTATTGCCTTGAATGGGGTGAAATGATTAGAAAAATATTTATATGTAACTATATAATTAATATCAAAGTCATTGAATCATTCATAGCAGTCAAATAATTTTAATACTATATAAATTACCCAGAATTTTTTCGTTCTGAAGAGTCAGAACAATTGTTTTTCCGAACAAAGGTGGTGATTAAGAATGTTATACACATCTGCGAGATTAGCTATTATGAATTTTTTTTATTCTTTAATGGACTTGCAAGAGAAATAATTTAATTTGCCTGTTTGAGACTTGTTAAATCTTCATGATGTATTTTGATATTCTCTCTCTCTCTCTCTCTCTCACACTCATTCTTTATTTCTCTCTCTCGCTTTCTGTCTCTCTCTTCTGTTTTCTTTCTCTTTGCTTGTATTTTATTTATTTATTTTTCTTTTTATCTCTCTCTTTTTGTTTCTTTCTCCATTTTTTCTTTCTCTATCCTCATATTTTCTGTCTGTTTTCTTGCATCTCCTTTCTCTCCTTCTCTTTTTCTCTATCTCTTTTTGTTTCTTTCTTGCTCTCCCTTTTTCTTTCTCTCTCCTTTTATTTTCTTTCTCTCTTTCTCTTCTTCACTATCTTTTTTTTCTTTCTATCTCCCTCTCTCTCTCTTCTATTTTCTTTCCCTCTTTCTCTTTTTCTCTATCTCTTTTTGTTTCTTTCTATCTCTCTCTTCTATTTTCTTTATCTCTCCTTATATTTTCTTTCACTCTTTCTCTTTTTCTCTATCTCTTTTTGTTTCTTTCTCTCTCTACCTTTTTCTTTCTCTCTCCTTGTATTTTTCTTTTCTCTTTCCTTCTATTTTCTTTCTCTCTTTCTCTCTTTTTTCTCTATCTCTTTTTGTTTCTTTCTCTCTCCTTTGTTTTCTTTCTCTTTCCTTGTATTTTCTTTCTCTCTTTCTCTCTTTCTCTTTTTCTATCTCTTTTGTTTCTTTTTGTCTCTACCTTTTTCTTTCTCTCTCACTTTGTATTTTCTTTTCTCTTTCCTTATATTTTCTTTCACTCTTTCTCTTTTCTCTATCTCTTTTTGTTTCTTTTATCTCTCTACCCTTTCTTTCTCTCTCTCTCCTTGTATTTTCTTTCTCTTTCATTCTATTTTCTTTCTCTTTTCTCTTTTCTCTATCTCTCTTTTTGTTTCTTTCTCTCTTTTGTATTTTCTTCTCTTTCCTTGTATTTTCTTTCTCTCTTTCTCTTTTTCTCTATCTCTTTTTGTTTCTTTCTCTCTCTATCTTTTTCTTTCTCTCTCCTTGTATTTTCTTTCTCTTTCCTTCTATTTTCTTTCTCTCTTTCTCTTTTTCTCTATCTCTTTTTGTTTCTTTCTCTCTCCTTGTGTTTTCTTTCTCTTTCCTTGTATTTTCTTTCTCTCTTTCTCTCTTTCTCTTTTTCTCTATCTCTTTTTGTTTCTTTGTCTCTCTACCTTTTTCTTTCTCTCGCCTTGTATTTTCTTTCTCTTTCCTTATATTTTCTTTCACTCTTTCTCTTTTTCTCTATCTCTTTTTGTTTCTTTATCTCTCTACCTTTTCTTTCTCTCTCCTTGTATTTTCTTTCTCTTTCATTCTATTTTCTTTCTCTCTTTCTATTTTTCTCTATCTCTTTTTGTTTCTTTCCCACCCTCTCTATTTCTTTTTCTCTCTCTTTATCTCCCTTTTTCTTCCCCTCTCCTTGTATTTTTCTTCTCTTGACTTCTTTACATTTCTTTTTTATTTTCTTCCCTCTTTCTCTACTCTCTTTCTTTCAAATTTTCTTTCTCTTTTCCTGCTCTCCTCTTTTTTTTCTCCTTCTTTCAACATCTTTTTTTGCTCCTTTTCCTCTTTCGAACTTTCTGTTTTCTTTCTCTATAATATTTTTCTCACTCTTTTTCTTTATTCTTTCTTTCTCCCTGTCTTTCTCTTTCTTTTTCTCTCTCTTTTTCACCCTCCCATTTTTCTTTCTCTCTCTTTGTATTTTTCTCTCTTTTGTTTCTTTTTCTTCTTTCTTTGTTTCTCACTTTTTCTTTATTTCCCCTTGTATTTTCTTTCGCTTCCATTCTTTTCCTCTCTCTCTTTTCATTTCAGTTCCTTTTCTCTCCCTGTATTTTCTTCCGTCCTCATATTTTCTTTCTGCTTCTATTTTTTTGAGTTTGTTTATTTCTCTGTCTCTTTCTCTCTCACTTTTTCTTTCTCTCTCCTTACATTTTTCTTTCTTTTTCATTATTTCTCTCTGTCTTTCTCTCTCTTTCTTGTTTCTTTTCCCCCTCTCTTTGTATTACTTTGCTTCCCTCTCTTTTTTTTCCTCAATCCTCTTTCCTCTATCTCTTTCTCTTTTTGTTATTTTCTCTCCTTATATTTTCTTTCTCTGTCTATTTCTCTATTTTTCTTTCTCTCTTTCTCCTCTTTCTCTCTCTTTCTTGTATTTTATTTCTTTCTTTCTTTCATTATATCCCGTTTTTCTTTGTCTATTGTTGTTTTTCCCCCCTCCTTTTCTTCTCTCTTTTTGTTTGTCTCCCTCTCATATTTTCTTTCTCTATTTCTCTATTTTTATTTCTCTATCTCTCTTTTTCTTTCTCTCTCCTTATATTTTCTTTCTCTCTTTTTTTTTGTTTCTCTCTCTCTCTCTCTCACACACTCTTTTTTCATTCTCTCTTCCTCTTTTTTCTTGTTCTCTCTAATTCTTTCTCTGTATTTGTCTTTTCTTTCACTCTCTTTTTCTATCTCTCTATATCTTTAAAAAGTAAAGAGGAAAAGAAGCAAAAAGAGAGAGAGGAAAGAAGGAGCAGAAAAGTAAATACAAGGAGAGACAAAGAAATATATAAAGAAAGTACAAAGAAAGAAGGTAGAGAAAAGATACTTTGTATCTCTTTTCTCTCTCCCTCCTCTCTCTCTCTCTCTCTCTCTCTCTCTCTCTCACTTTTCTTCCTCTTTTTTATCACCTTTTCAGACAGAATGATAATCGCTGGTAACTATAAACACTAAAAAGCAATCATAAAAAATGAGAAGAAAACACTGGCAGCAATCGTACTTGAAACAAAAAACGGATCCATGAGATTTGATAAATTAAAAATGAAAATATATCCTGTTATTTATTTCTTTTTTATCTCATTAATTTTTTCTTTTCAAACCAAGCTTTCCATCTTTTTTTTTTTTCCTTTGTTGTTTCTTTATTACAATTTTTTAATCTCTAATTAAATTTACAATTGACATTTTATTCTAAAACCATTTCCCAAGACTGCACATTTCATAACACAATAGACAGAAATAACATCTTGTATATAAAGACTAAAAACTTCTGCATAGTCTAAGGTAAGTTAATTATGAGAGAGTGGTTTGCCTAATTGCATACTCATTTTTTAATTCCTTAAAAAATCATGACATGTCAGTGATGAGAGTCTTCAGAAATTCTTTTTTCATGTGTGGTAGCTCTTTACGACATAAGTAATCAAGGCTCTCCACAGATTCTTTGTAGCTCTTAGCAATGTTTAACATTTTACAATACCTCCCTCTCTCCATTCTGTCAAAAGCTTGTTCAGTTACTTCCAGATGTTGGGCGCTCATGGCTCCCCACAACTTCCTATTTTTGCACCTTTTAGTAATGCTTATCCTTTCTTCATACGCACCACACCCTATTCTGCCATCCATTTACACTCTTGTTATGTAGATTACTTGCTATTTCCCCTGACTCTCTTGTTTCAATATGTCCTGTGAGTGTCACATTCTCTAACCCTTCTTTCCTCATTTAAGTGTCCCAAGCATTGTTACAACTCCATTAATGTGGGGGTCTTCTTTTATATGCTCTGAGTCTTCAAGATTTTAGCCTACCACAACTTCCTTTCTTTTGTAGCTCTTAGCTATGTCTGTTTTTCACTATAGTTGTCAGTCTTTGTTCTGCTATTTATTTACAAAAAACCTGAAGTAGTATTTTTTTACAGTGGCGTTCACTCTGTACAAGGCCTGAGAGCCACTTAAGGTAGAGGCACAGCTTATGCTTATATATGTGGAAGATAACCAGTTAACCCTAGACTCTAACAGGTGGTTACTCATTGTTTTCTCTGTTCCTCTTGACTTCAATATACACTGAGAATATTAAATTTTCCAAGCCTTCTTTCCTCTTTATGTGTCCCAGAAATTTCAGCTGTCCCCTTCTGTTTCTATTTTCCTTAAAACTTCCTCATTACTTACATGTTCAGTCCATCATCTTCTCAGCCTCTTTCGATAGGACTATATTTCTGTTTCCTCAAGTCAGCACTTCATCTGTGAAGAAATTGTCAATATTCACTGTGATAATGAAAAATTGATATTACACAGCAGTTCAGCATGCTTTTCTTTGTTTCTAACAAAATTTTTCTCTATCTTAATACTTTGCTTAGCTTTGGAAGGCATCTTTTGCAATTCCAGTGTGTCCTTAAATTCTGGTGTCACATTTTCTGTTATCTGTTAAAACAATTCCCAGATATTTAAATTTCTATACTTACTGTTGTAACCTAGAAAGGGTCACTGAATGAAGAATAACCAAAATGGAGATTGGAAATGAAATGGTAATCTTTATAACATCAACAAAATACAATACTCGCCAGCGTCGTGAAGTAGGTAAACCACTGCTTAGATAGCATATTACCCCCAGTTACAATAGTGTCCAACATATTTATAAGGATTGGGAGATACCCATTAGTATTCATATGTATGGTATATAACACTATCTGTCTCAGTCTATTCATTATCTATCAGTCTGTTATAGTCATGTATGTCTGTGTTTTAACCTAGAAATGAGAATGAGAGAGATGGGAGGAGGTGGTACTTATTCAGAAAAGAAAATATTTCCAAATTTTCCTGTTTTTATTTCATAGGTATGGCATATAACACTTACTTGATTTTGACATCCCCAATTTATAGCTCACATCTTGAGCTGTTCATCTTACTGACAAGCATATATTCTGTGTTCTTACAATTGATGGTTAGTCCTTTCTACCTGCTATCCTTTACAAAGTTGTCTAGGAGTTACTATAGTTTTCTTTCTATGTCTGCCATCAACATGGTGTCATCTGCATATATTATATTGTTAACATTGTGACCACTAATAATAAATGCTGTCAAAAATTGATAATGGTTGAGAATGCTTCATCTCATAATAATAATTCATTTTAAGATAATATTACTACAGCTGATACTAATAGTGTAAATAAGGCAAAGGAATTTAAGATGAAAGTAATACTAGTCAAAAATTAATAATGATAATCATAATTGTTGACAATGCTTCATCTAATAATAATAAAATTCAAGTTAAAATTACTACCTGCTTGTTAATGGCCATGACCTGACAGAATTAGACGTGATTGAAAAAAACTGATAAGATGAATGATATATTAGTAAAAAAAGAGTCATGTGTGTCTATTCAGGTTCGTGTGTGTGCATCTATATGTATATAGGAAGATAAGTAAAATCTATCACAGAGTAATTTTTCTTCTTTGGTTCCTTCCATCAAATAACATTTCTTTACTAATTCTGTCACCTTCTTCTCAAAAGTCCAGCCAGTCAGACAAAGTTGGCATGGTGCCACTTTAGAATTGACCCTTCTCAAAAACTTAGTAATCTATTCTTCAAAGTCACAATGAAAGATACAATTTGTGCGGAAGCTAACAATGATACCAATCTGAAAGCAAGATCTTGTTAATTCAAATTACTTTTCTTCTTGTCTTAGTCCAAAAAAGATCAATTTTCAAAGGTTTTTTTTTATTGTGATTACTTTTCACTTTATCCAGATATTCATATGTTAGAGCACTTTGGTGTGATGATTAGTAAACTAACAGACCATTAAATAGTATTTGAGCTTCTTTCCTTCAATATTTTACTAAAATCAGCTTTGGTATAATCCAATGATTGTTCTTCTTCATCTGTGTACAGTCAATGAACTCGAGTCCAATTTTGATTTGGGAAAGCCCGGTTAAAACTGAGAGCTGAGCTAACAGGTAGTCAATAATTAGCAGGAGTTCAAATCTCACCTCATAAACTGATCCTTCACCGTTTCTTGACTTCTAGCCTCATTGGGCATTATCTTTTATTATTCCTGATCCATATTGTTTGCTCATTGCCATAGACTGATGGCCTGCAGAAGTTGTGATAGAAAGAAATAAAAATGCTGACAGGAAAAAAATTATAAGTTAAAAATTAAAAAGATGAATTATAGTAGAAAGAGCTTCACCATATAATCAACAAGAAATCATATTAATGATTTTTTTTAAAAATTCTGTCTGCTTTTGTTTCTTTTATTTATTTAGTATATTTTGATGGGTGGGGCATGTATATATCATTGTGTGGGATAGAACTACCAGTGAAGAAGTCTGCTATATGGAGAGTTAATATGTGATGGAAGATGAAGAAATCCACCCACAAAAGGGTTAAAAAGTTCCATCAAAACCAACTAAGCGTGAAGAGCATGCTGGAAATTTTACATGCTGCTGAGTCATGGTCTATCAAGCCTCTGCAAATTTTAAAAAAGCCTGGCAAAACTCATCACTTTGAGAAAACAGGTAGTGATTATAACAACATTGCACTGTTAGAAAACTCTTCACTACTGGAATCAGGTTGGGAAGCCATCTTAGAATTTACAGAAGAATAAATAATGAAAATTATTTTCAGATCATTCCAAATAATATAAAGAGATAAAATAATAATATTAAAAGAAATTATCTTTTTTACTAAATCAATTTCGTATAAGTCCCTTTCAGTACAGTAGTATTTTTATTTTTATTAGATGAAGCATTGTCAACCATTATTATTAATTTTTTACATGTATTTACGTTCCTCTTAGCTTTTTTATTAGTTGAAGTCAACTATTGTTAGTAATTTTTATTATTATTTATTCTCATTTTTATTTATACTAAATATTTTATACAGTTAATATTAATTCATCACAGGTATATTTGTTCATTTTATTTTTTATTCGATGAAATATTGTCAACTATTACTTTTAATTTTTACTAGTATTTATTTTCATCTATATTTTTATTACATAAAACGTTGTAAACCATTATTATTAATTTTGGATAATATTTACTTACCTCTTAATATTTTTAGTTGCTTTTTTATCCCTGTTTTACTCAGGCCATCAATCTGCATCAATGTGTAAGCAGTGCAGGATTGGAAATAAAAAACTTATGAAAATATAGGTTTTACTATTTTTAAAATATTTAACTGTCCCTTTGTAGTCTCACCATCCTGCAGCCGATGATGATTTCAACTCAAACCTTTCAGATAATTATCTTTTCATTCTGTTCCCTTCTCTGTCTTATATGTGAAAGCAAAGATTTATAATTTTCTTGTTTTAGTCTCTTAAATATTTAATGGTTGAATAGCTAAATAGTAAAAAGGTTCAGGGAAAGAAGTAAGTGGGTGGATAAGTAAAGAAATAAATGAAAAGAAAAGATCAAAGAGAATTCTGCAGATGTGGAATTTATAAGGCGGATAATTGAAATCTGGAGTTGGTCCTGTCTTGTTTTTTTTCTTCATTTTGACTTTTTTTTATTTCTTTTTAATCAAGACTTGGATGCACTTATTTGTTTGATAAAATAGTTAACTGCCATTGCCATGTTTTCCAAGTTCAAACCCTTTTGTCAGCCTGAAATCTGATTGGAAGAAATACGGTAAAAATTGAATTTCAGTTTCTTTTTTTCTTTATGTTTCCCTTTTTCTCACTCTTTCTTTTGGTCTTCTACCTTCTTCTTTTGTATATACTTACTTACTTACTTTTACTTACTCTCCTTTGTTAACTCATTTATTTCGATTTTTTTTTGTAAAAAAATTACAAAATCAAAAAAAAAACAATAATGAACAGGTTTGGGGACTCTTGTATGTGTTTTCATTTTTACATTTTTATCTCTCTCCCTCTCTTTCTCTCTCTCCCACTCTTTCTCTCTCCCTCTCTTTCACTTCCTCTTTCTCTCTCTCAAACTCCTTTTTTCTCTCTCTATTACCCTCTCTCTCTCTTCCTCTGTCTCCCTCTTTCTCTCTTTCTCTCCCTCTGCTTCTTTCTTTCTCTCACCCTCTCTCTTTCCCTCTTTCTCTCTCTCCTTCTTTCTCTCTTTCACTCTCTCTTTCTCCCTTTCTCTCACTCTCTTTTCTCTCTCTCACCTCTCTCTTTCTATCTCTCACTCTTTCACTCCCTCTTTCTCTCACTCCTTCTTCTTTCTCTCTCTCTCTTTCACTCACTCTTTCTCACTTTCCTTTTTTCTTATCTCTCACTATTTCTCTTTCCTTCTCTCCCTTTTTCTCTCCCTCCCCTTCTTTCTCTTTTCCTTCGCTCTCTTTTTCACTTCCTCTCTCTCTCTCTGACTTACTTTCTTTTTCCATGTTTGTCATCTTTACAAGAGAGAACTGAAAAGATCTCAGCCCAACCAAGAAATTTATAAAATCCTTCTCTTTAAAATTTTTTTTTCAGGAAAACAGGTTTCTCAGTCCAGTAGCTGTTATTTCTCTTTCCAATACTGATCGGAGTTTCCTTCCTAATCTTTTGTTTGAAGTAGTGTGGAATGCTGACATCTTGATTATATCATTATTCTCTCTTCGATTTACAAGTGCTATCCATTGTAGTCATTGCTTCTGTTAAAAGTCCTCAAATAATGTAGTTTCTGTTCTCTGATAAAGTTTTTTTTTTCCTTTTTCATTATATAGATAGTGCCAGCCCACAAGACTTGAAGATAGTCCTCCCTAAGACCTACAGTATTCATTTGCTCAAAGCCATTTTTAACCATTGATCTGTGAAAGCAAGTGTTTACAACTGACAGCTTAGAAATTTATGAAAGAATTTGGTGCCATCCATATGAAAGTCTCAGTCTGACAAGGCTATTTAAGATAGATAGATAGATATGAACAGACTAGGATAGATAGATAGATAGATAGATAGATAGATAGATAGATAGATAGATAGATAGATAGATGTGAACAGACTAGGATAGATGGATGAAATGAGATAGATAGGATAGATAGATAGATAGATAGATAGATAATGATAGATAGATAGATATGAACAGACTGGATAGATAGATAGATAGATAGATAGATAGATAGATAGATAGATATGAACAGACTAGGATAGATAGATAGATAGATATGATAGATAGATAGATATGAACAGACTTGGATAGATAGATAGATAGATAGATAGATAGATAGATAGGATGAATGAATGATATAGATAGATAGATGAGATAGATAGATAGATGAATCTGAACAGACTAGGATAGATGGATAGATAGATAGATAGATAGATAGATAGATATGAACAGACTAGGATAGATAGATAGATGGATGGATGGATAGATAGATAGATAGATAGATAGATATGAACAGACTAGGATAGATAGATGAGATAGATAGATGGATAGATAGATAGATGGATAGATAGATGAGGATAGATAGATGAATGGATAGATAGATATGAACAGACTGGGATAGATGGATAGATAGATGGATATGTAGATAGATAGATAGATAGATAGATGGATAGATAGATGAATGAATAGATGGATGAATGGATGGATGTATGGATATGAACAGACTATAGATAGATAGATGATAGATGGATGGATAGATGGATGAATGGATGATGGACAGACTGGGATAGATGGATGATGGATGGATAGATAGATAGATACTGGGATGGATGGAGATGGATGGATGGATAGATGGATGGATGGATGACTATGGATGGATGGATGGATGATGGATGATGGATAGACAGACTGATAGATAGATATGATGGATGGATGAATGGATGATGGATGGATAGATAGGATGGATAGATGATAGGATAGATAGATAGATAGAATAGATGGAATAAGATAGATAGATGAATAGATAGATATATAGATATGAACAGACTAGATAGATAGATAGATAGATAGATAGATAGATAGATAGATAGATGAACAGACTAAGATAGATAGATAGATAGATGTAGATGATAGATGTGGATATGGAACAGATAGGATAGATAGATAGATAGATAGATAGATAGATAGATGAATGAATGGAACAGACTAGGATAGATAGATAGATAGATAGATAGATAGATGTGATAGATAGATAGATAGATAGATAGATAGATAGATAGATAGATGAATGAATATGAACAGACTAGATAGATAGATAGATAGATAGATGAATAGATAGATGGAGATGGATGAATAGATAGATAGATGAAAGATAGATAGATATAGATAGATAGATATAATAGGATGGATAGATAGATAGATAGATAGATATGATGTGAAGATAGATAGATAGATGTGAACAGACTAGGATAGATAGATAGATAGATAATAGATAGATGGATAGATATGAACAGACTAGGATGAAGATGAATAGATAGATAGATAGATAGATAAATAGAACAAACTAGGATAGATAGATAGATAAGATAGATATATAGATAGATAGATAATAGAATAGATGAATGATATGAACAGACTAAACATGAATAGATAGATAGATAGATAGATAGATAGATAAACTATAATAGATAAAATAGATATAAATGTTCTGATGATAGATATGATATGTTAAGATATGGATAATATATATATAACAGACAATATAGATGGATTGGATGGATGTGAACAGACTAGATGGATAGATTTGGATCCTGGGATGGATAGATAATTAGAAATGAACAGTCGATATGAATCAATAAAACAATATGTAGATAGATTTATTTTGCAGACTAAAAATACTCCATAATAGGTATACAAAATAGAAACATCTTTTAAATAATGGTTGAAAATCTTTGGATACCATGTTTGAATGCAAAATAATTTAATGAATGTTTGGATAAGGTCATAGATTTTAAATAGATGAAATTTCAGACTGTCCATAGATGAATGGATGTTATAGACTTGTAGTACCTCGGACACGATATCAAGATTGAATGAATGTGAACAGATATTAATGGATTATTTTTTACACATTAGATAGATAGTTTAGATAGATAGATAGATTTGTTATCAGTCAGGAGTTATAGTTAATTAATTAATAACAGACTAGGATGTTTAATAGTTTTAATATAGAAAAATCTGAACAGAAATAGATATAAATTCATAGAGGATTATAGGTTTAGGTTTTTATTACAACTCTAATCATTGCTTTTAAACAAAAAATAGATTATGAACAGATGGAAGGTAGTTAAAATAATAGATGGTGTAAGGGTAAAACAGTTTTTTTGACATTCTGCTTTTTTTGGCCAAGAAATCAGACTAGGAGATTTGCCATCAATGGATGATCAGATTTAGATAGATATTCAAGAATTAAGAGATAGATATGAACTTATTTAATTTCAAATAGATAGATTATAATAATAAATAAAGAATACAAAATGCCATATAAGAGACTAAATATTAAATGAGTTTCTCATGAACAATTATAAAATACTCCATAAATACAATAACAAACAAGTAAATATTATTACCTACTTTGACAAGCCTTTAATAAAGTTTAATTCAAAGCTAGAATTTTGTCACTTACCTCATTTTGTTCAAACTAATGAATAAGCTTCTAATAAAGTTTTAATGTTTTGTAGTTTAAAAAATATGTATCATTTCATTATAGGTTTAGGTTTTTTATACAATTCATTGGTTTTAAACAAAAAAATATTGCCAAGGATGGAAGGTAGTTAAAATAATAGTGGTGTCAAGGGTAAAACAGTTTTTTTGACATTCTGCTTTTTTTTGGCCAAGATTATCCAAGTTTGCCAGTTTGTCAATGTTCAAGACAATTAAGAGAGTAGACTTATTTAATTTCAAATTATTATAATATAAATTCACTAAATAAGGGAGATGCCCAATGGAACTGAACTTACTAGTTACCTCATTGTTCAAACTTGAAAACTTCTAGTATATTTAAAAATTGCTGATTTTCTAAACATGTACATCATGCCAAATGAACTGAACTTACATTTGTAAACTTCTAGATTCTTTTAATTTTTTCTTTTAGAGATTTCAACTTTTAATTTCTGACATAATTTCTTGGATGAGGAATTATCATTATTTACATGATTTACACACAGATAAATATCTTCATCTTTGTTGTTTCTGTCACAATGTTTTGGCTGTGGTACCTTCATCAGGTAACCTTCAAGGAATTTTGAATTAAACCCCTTATTTAATCTGTGGGAGTAAATTGTTCTCATTCCACTGTCCACATGTCCAGGGACATCTCTTCTATTTCTTATTTAGTAGTGCTTATTTACTACTTGTCCTTTTTCCGCTGAATTTGCATTCTGAGTATGACAATAAACTACATCTGGCAGCAAAGTTTTTCAGAAGCATGGAACAACCTCTTAATTGGTGTTGTTCCCAGGTCCACTCTGACCCGTGGTGGTAGCACCTGTTAGGGCCCCAGCTATGGGCAAATAGTGAACCTCCAAACAAAAACAAAACACTACAAAAGTATAAAAAATTCATTTTTATAGTAAAAATACCAGTAATACATTTCCATAGTAAAAAAAAAATTACCAGCAATACATTTTTGTAAAAGAAATTACTAATACTACCAAGAAAATTAGATTTCAGTATTAAATGATTGATAAGAAGCAAACAATATCTACTATCCATTTTTCTACAACAACTGAACTTGCAATTATTCTGCTACCAAATTAGCAAACCGATGATTTAATCCACTAGGCTATTATTCTGTAGGACAATCCTGAGTGTAGAACTTGGAGCCTTAAACCTAATCTACCTGCTGTTGAGAGCTACTGCTGCTGTTTGTCATGCTTGACTCCATTCACTGACACTTCTAATGATAATATACAACAAACACATCAAGCAACTCTCCAAGCAAAACAATCATAATTCCTACTAGGAATAGGTAATATTACCAAAGGATTTTCTCTAACATATTTACAAGTATCTAAACTAATTACGATAGGTGCTTTTGAAATGAATTTAATAAATATTTTCTTTTATTTATTAGTATCTTAATTTCTAATATACTGATGCATCCGTTCAAGTAAAAACATAATCCTTACTTAACATTTATCATACTGTATGTGATTTCATTTGCTGTACAAAAAGTTTATCCTGCAACTGAATGTGACTCTGATCCCTGAACAATAGTGTGTTTGATTTTCATAGTTGTGTTGTCATATCCTGCTATGGCAACAGAAAACAACTTTGAGTGAAATTAACAATAAGGATACTGCAATTGAGAGGCCTTGAAAAAGAATGCAGTAGAAAGGGATGTAATATTAATAATACAGCATGCTAAAGGCGAAGAACAATTTGAAAATGAAATTCATATAAACATATTCAGTCAAGAATATGATAGTTGTACCAGGCATAGTAGAAGTCCAGATTAAACAATGTGACCAGCAAATAAAAAGAGAATTGGCATACAATTTAAATAAAGCAAAATCCTTTGTTGTACTTCTTGCCATGAAATTATAACTGAACAATAAGAATGAAACTTTAATCTATAAACAACATAAGTATAAATAAAAACCATTTATTGTGGTTACTGATTACTTTAGAGTCAAAAGACTTTGCCAGATAATAATGTTTTTAGCAGGATAACTCTATTAATGTAACTCAGAAATCTATTCTCATTATTTTTATTCTGACATTTTTTTCCTGATTACTCCCCTGAGTTTTTTTTTGTTCTTTACCACTTACCATGATCACTGTGTTTTCTTCCTATTTACATCAACTTATTTCTCGTCTTTCTTCACTGAGTTTCACAGTTAAAATAGCCTTCAATGTCAATATCGCATTCTCTATTACTTTTTACAGTCTTTCTTTAACTGCATTTTGAATTTATTTCTCTTCTATCTTCTTTTCGTTTCAACATTTGTTTTTCTTCTTTCAATTTATTTCTTGATCCTTGCTTTTTTTATCTTTTCTTTTTACATCTTTTTTATTTACTTCTCTTCTTACTTATTCTTTCTTCCAATTCTTTATTTTCATTCACCTTCACTTTCTTTTTTAATAAATTCTTTATATTTTCTGTCTTCTTTCTTCGCTCCCTTTCATTTCTATATTTTCTACATTTTTGTTTTTTTGCCTTTACTTTCGGCTTCTTTCTTTTTTTTTTCCTGTAATTGTTCTTCTTCATCTCCTTTCTTTTCCTTTCACTTGATATTTTTCTTCTTTTTCTTTGACTTATTAAGTTCTCTACCTCATTTCTTTTTCTTTTCTTCTCTTTCTTTGACTTATTACGTTCTCTACCTCATTTCTTTTTCTTTTCTTCTCTTTCTTTGACTTATTAAGTTCTCTACCTCATTTCTTTTTCTTTTCTTCTCTTTCTTTGACTTATTAAGTTCTCTACCTCATTTCTTTTTCTTTTCTTCTCTTTCTTTGACTTATTAAGTTCTCTACCTCATTTCTTTTTCTTTTCTTCTCTTTCTTTGACTTATTAAGTTCTCTACCTCATTTCTTTTTCTTTTCTTCTCTTTCTTTGACTTATTAAGTTCTCTACCTCATTTTTTTTCTCTTCTTCTCTTTCTTTGACTTATTAAGTTCTCTACCTCATTTCTTTTTCTTTTCTTCTCTTTCTTTGACTTATTAAGTTCTCTACCTCATTTCTTTTTCTTTTCTTCTCTTTCTTTGACTTATTAAGTTCTCTACCTCATTTCTTTTTCTTTTCTTCTCTTTCTTTGACTTATTAAGTTCTCTACCTCATTTCTTTTCTTTTCTTCTCTTTCTTTGACTTATTAAGTTCTCTACCTCATTTCTTTTTTTTTCTTCTCTTTCTTTGACTTATTAAGTTCTCTACCTCATTTCTTTTTCTTTTCTTCTCTTTCTTTGACTTATTAAGTTCTCTACCTCATTTCTTTTTCTTTTCTTCTCTTTCTTTGACTTATAAGGTTCTCTACCTCATTTCTTTTTCTTTTCTTCTCTTTCTTTGACTTATTAAGTTCTCTACCTCATTTCTTTTTCTTTTCTTCTCTTTCTTTGACTTATTAAGTTCTCTACCTCATTTTTTTTTTTTTCTTCTCTTTCTTTGACTTATTAAGTTCTCTACCTCATTTTCTTTTTTCTTTTCTTTCTTCTCTTTCTTTGACTTATTAAGTTCTCTACCTCATTTTTTTTTTCTCTTCTTCTCTTTCTTTGACCTATTAAGTTCTCTACCTCATTTCTTTTCTCTTCTTCTCTTTCTTTGACTTATTAAGTTCTCTACCTCATTTCTTTTCTTTTTCTTCTCTTTCTTTGACTTATTAAGTTCTCTACCTCATTTCTTTTTTCTTTTCTTCTCTTTCTTTGACTTATTAAGTTCTCTACCTCATTTCTTTTTCTTTTCTTCTCTTTTCTTTGACTTATTAAGTTCTCTACCTCATTTCTTTTCTTTTCTTCTCTTTTTTTTTCTTCTTTCTTTCTTTGACTTATTAAGTTCTCTACCTCATTTTTTCTCTTCTTCTCTTTCTTTGACTTATTAAGTTCTCTACCTCATTTCTTTTTTTTCTTTTCTTCTCTTTCTTTGACTTATTAAGTTTCTCTACCTCATTTTTTTCTTTTCTTCTCTTTCTTTGACTTATTAAGTTCTCTACCTCATTTTTTTTCTTTTCTTCTCTTTCTTTGACTTATTAAGTTCTCTACCTCATTTCTTTTCTTTTCTTCTCTTTCTTTGACTTATTAAGTTCTCTACCTCATTTCTTTTTTTTTTCTTCTCTTTCTTTGACTTATTAAGTTCTCTACCTCATTTCTTTTTCTTTTTCTTCTCTTTCTTTGACTTATTAAGTTCTCTACCTCATTTCTTTTCTTTTCTTCTCTTTCTTTGACTTATTAAGTTCTCTACCTCATTTCTTTTTCTTTTCTTCTCTTTCTTTGACTTATTAAGTTCTCTACCTCATTTCTTTTTTTTTTCTTCTCTTTCTTTGACTTATTAAGTTCTCTACCTCATTTCTTTTTTCTTTTCTTCTCTTTCTTTGACTTATTAAGTTCTCTACCTCATTTCTTTTTTTCTTTTCTTCTCTTTCTTTGACTTATTAAGTTCTCTACCTCATTTCTTTTCTTTTCTTCTTTTCTTTGACTTATTATGTTTCTCTACCTCATTTCTTTTTTCTTTTTCTTCTCTTTCTTTGACTTATTAAGTTCTCTACCTCATTTCTTTTTCTTTTTCTTCTCTTTCATTGACTTATTAAGTTCTCTACCTCATTTCTTTTTCTTTTCTTCTCTTTCTTTGACTTATTAAGTTCTCTACCTCATTTCTTTTTCTTTTCTTCTCTTTCTTTGACTTATTAAGTTCTATACCTCATTTCTTTTTCTCTTCTTCTCTTTCTTTGACTTATTAAGTTCTCTACCTCATTTCTTTTTCTTTTCTTCTCTTTCTTTGACTTATTAAGTTCTCTACCTCATTTTTTTTCTTTTCTTCTCTTACTTTGACTTATTAAGTTCTCTACCTCATTTCTTTTTCTTTTCTTCTTCTTGTCGTCTTTTCAGCCTTTTACCTTTTTCTTCTACTTTCCCGCTTCCTTCAGCTTTTGGTCACATCATATTGAAAAACCTGGTCTCATATGATCACCAAAGTTAAGCAATGTTGAGCTCATTCATTACTTAGCTGGGTGACCATTTGAGAATACCAGGTGCTGGATGCTTGGATGTGTGGGTGGTTCAATGAATAATGGCTCGGAATTGGAAATCAGAGAGTTGAGTTCCAATTCCAGTCAGGTTCGTTATATTCACTTATGCACAAATACCCTTCAGAAATGTTTGAAACCCACCTCTTCTACCCCCGGCTATGGGTTGATTCGTACAACTTGTAGATCATTGTTATTTGCAAAAATTCTCTCAGTTAAAAGAAATATTTTCTGGCTTTAAATATTTTGCAAGAAAGCAAATCAATCAATCAAAATCCTGACTCTCCCTCCTCCTCCTCCTCCTCCTCCATACATCTCTATTTTAATTTCTTTGTCCTTTTTTTCTTCTCTTTTTCTTTACTCCATACATCTGTCTTGTCCACTCTTTATTCCATCTCTCTTCTTTTTTCTTGTTACCTTTTATGTGTATTTTCCTACTTCTTCTTGTCCTCTTCTCCATCTTCGTTCTTTATTCATCTTTTCATTTTTGTGTTTCTCTTCATCTTACTATTCACCTTTTCCTCCTAATTTTTATCTTCTCCTCCTCCTCCTCCTTCATTGTTCTTCTCTTCCTCCTTCATCGTTCTCCTCCTCCTTCTTCTTCATTTTCCTCCTTCTCTTCCTTCATTCTCTTCCCTCTGTTTCATTCTCCACCACCTTCATCATTCTCTTCCTCCTCCTCCTCCTCCTCCTTCATTTTCCCCCTTCTCCTCCTTCATTCTCTTCCTCCTCTTTCATTCTCTACCTTTGTCATCATTCTTCTCCACCTCCATTTTCTTCATTCTCCTCCTTCATTCTATTCTTCCTCTTTCCTTCTCCACATCCTTCATCATTCTCCTTCTCTTCCCCTCCTTCTTCTTCATTTTCCTCTTCCTCCATCATCTTCTTCTTCTTCATTTTCCTCCTTCTCCTCCTTCATTCTCTTCCTCCTCTTTCATTCTCTGCATCCTTCACCATCTTCCTCCTTTTCCCCCTCCTTCTTCTTCATTTTCCTTTTCCTCCATCTTCTTCTTCTTCATCCCTTTCTGCTTTTTCTACCCATCTTCTTTCTTCTTAAGATTCTTGTCCTCATTTTTTTCTTTTCTTCTTTTCTATTTTTCTTTTACTTTCTTCACTTCCTACTTTTTCTTTCCACTTTTCCCTTTTCTTTTTTCCACACCCCTCCTAATCCTTCTTTTTCCACACCTCCTGTTCTTTTCTCTCTCTCTTTTCTCTTCTGATCTTCCATTCTGGAACTTCCCAGTTGTTATTTTCAACTCCTCTTTATTCCTTTAACTTTTCTTTACTCTTATTTTTTTTCCTTTTAGGCTGTCTTCTTCTTCTTCTTCATGGACCCCCACCCTCTCTTATTTGTTGTCTAAACCTCCCCTTCCTCCCACTTCACCTCTTCTTCATCCTTCTATTTTATCTCCTTGTATTTCTTTTTTATCGGCTAAATTATTTAGCATCTGGTTAAAAAATTAGTATAAAGATGACATTAACAAGGGCTTCTTTATGCAAAGTCCAATTCACTTTTATCTTTCTTATGAGAAGCAGACAAAAACGTAAAGACAGATAAGATAAATAAATGAAAGACAGAATATAAATGAAAAAGAGAAAGAAATTGAATGAAATAAAGGGAAAGCATATAAAAGAAAGAGAAAAAGAAAGGAATTAAATAAAAGGGAAGACGATAAAAGGGAGAAAGAAATAGAATGAAGTGAAAGAAAGAGAGAAAGAAAAGAAATGAAATAAAAGGAAAAAAGAGAAAAAAAGAGAAAAATAAAGGAATGAAGTAAAAGGAAAGAAGTTAAAGAAAAAGAAAAAAAATGAAGTGAATGAAAGCGAGAAAGAAAAGGAATGAAATAAAAGGAAAAAAAATAAAAGAAAGAGATAAATAAAAGATGAAAAAAGAGAGAAAGAAAAGGAATGAAGTGAATGAAAGAGAGAAAGAAAAGGAATGAAATAAAAGGAAAGAGAATAAAAGAAAGAGAGAAAGAAGAAATTAAATAAATGGAAAGGAGATAAAAGAAAGAAAAAAAGAAGGAATGAATTGAATGAAAGAGAGAAATAAAAGGAAAGAAAATAAAAGAAAGAGAGAAATAAAAGATGAAAGAAAGAGTAAAAGAAAGGAATGAAATAAAAGGAAAGAAGATAAAAGAAAGAGAGAAATAAAAGGAAAGAAGATAAAAGAAAGAGAGAAAGAAAGAAGTGAAGGAAAAGGAAAGAAAAGAAAAGAAAGAGAAAAAATGAAATAAAAGGAAAGAAAATAAAAGAAAGAGAGAAAGAAAAGGAAAGAAGATAAAGGAAATAGAGAACGAAAAAGAATGAAATAAAGAAATAAAAAGGAAGAAATATCTTTGGTAAAAGAAAGTGAAATAAAGTGTGGGCAGAAAGAGATTATGAGAAAAATGTGTATATGTGTAATTATATGAGATATACTTGAGTAGCAGAAAATGTTTAATTATATCTGTCCATATGTGTGTGAACACATGTGCAGACACACATGCACATAGGGGTGTTGAAAAGTTCTCAGCCTTAAACAATTTACAATGTCTGACCAAATAATGAAATATATATTATTTTAAACCTTCATGGTTGTTTCTTATACCCTTCTCTCTCATATATATATATATATATATATATATATATATATATATAATCAAGACATGATTTTATAACGCACCTCCCTCCACCCTCTGACCATATTTTTTCATTTTTCTATTTTAGCATAGATCTGACTTTTGATTGGTTAATCCAGACATTCCCACAAGTATATGTTTTAATTCTGGCATTAGGCTTTCCCCCAACTTTTTACCTTTCAAAAGAGGTAACGATTTATTTTTAAATTTCCCAAATAAATTTTTTGTATTATATGTAATCTACTATCGCCCAATAAGAAATGATTAAAGTTCCAAAACATGAAAGTTTTTGTGTAGCGATGTAAAATGTTTTTATTGTAATCTATTATAAAAAAAATATTATTGTAATTATTAATAATATATATATATATATATATATATATATATATATATATATATATATATATATATATATAAAAAGAAAGAACATTAAGATATACAGTCTGGTGTTCTTATAGATATTTTTATTTTACAAAATAATGCTCAATTTGGAAACATGAATTATGATTTTTGCTGTCTTTAAAACCCAGTAATTTTAAAAGTTATTCCAAAATTCACTTGAGGATGAAATGGAACTAATGTCTTTAATTTAATTACAAAATTAAATTCGGAGCTTTTTTTTGAAACATGGTTAGAACTGAATAGCAAAAAAAAACATTTTAAATCAATTAATTTATAATATTATATATATATATATATATGTGTTATTTTTTCACACATGTATTGAGCACATTTTAATACTACTGTTCCCTGGTCTAATTCAACAGTAACCATTTATCTTTTATGTTTAATATATATATACTTATATATGCATATATTTAATAGGCCAGTTAATAAAATTTGAAGAATAAAAAGCCAACAAAATGATACCAATATTGTCAATAAAATTTATATGTTTTATATCTTAACCTCTTAACGGAATTGAAGCATGATGAGATAGATTTTATAGTCGGAATTTTTTAACATACCTGTGTTCTTTTTCAACAATGGAAGGAATAAACAAAGAAGTAGTATTTACTCTTCTGAAGAAAGTTGTTGGTTGGAGCACTCTCTGAGAAAACTCAAATCCCTGTTTAATCCTTCCATATTTGAATTTATTTTGAAGATAAATTGCAACTCCGATCTGCACCTTTCTTCTTGTCTCTTGAATGAAGATGCTGAAAGCACACATCTGATGTCATCAGCACTACAAAATGGTAGGTTGAAGTGTACTGTGGTTGGAAAAATAACAAGCAGACAGACAGAGGCTACAACTTTTTATATATAGATATATATAACAGCTATGCATGTGGTATAATGGATGGCAGCTTGGAATGAGAAATCAGAGAGCCAAGTTGAAATTCCAGTCAAGGATTGACTTGTTTCTTTAGCCTTGGTTGTTTACTAGTTTAGGAGAAGGAAAGCTCTGACATCAGAACTTAAGGTGGTCTTTTTGTGAGCCTTGTGGCACCAGTTCTTAGTGTTCAGTTTTTCTGAAAATATGTGAATGGTTCTGTACATGCTTTAACCTCTATATTCAAAATCGCATAAGTGGAGTTAGGGTTCAGTTCTAGGAGCTGTACTGTTCGACTGTCATACGACAGAAGAGTTTATTATTATCAGATAGATAACTAGCTACCTAGATAGATATATATAAAAGGGGAGATTGAAAAGTTCAAAGACTCATCTATTTTCTAAAATCTGACCCAATGACCCCAAATATCAAATGTTTTTGTAAGGACTCTCTAGTCAGTATAAGACCTTTGTAGTAACCTTTTGATTGATTTTGTTTAGCAGCATATCAACCTCTATGGGTTATTTAATGCTGAAATCTAAAAATGTTGAACACAATTGCAAGCCTTCAATTACAGATGAAATTTATTGTTGGTCATTTTACCAGAAATAGATATTGTTGGTAATTTTATTATAAATAAGTACATGTTCGTAAATAACAGCAATATATTTTTATATAAAAATATATTGCTGGTATTTTTGCTATAAAATGTATTTTTATATTTTCAAAATGTTTTGGGCTTCACTTTTTGCTGGGATGCTAGCAGGTTGATCTGGGAACAAAAGCAATTAAGAGGTTAAAAGGTGGATTGACACTCCTCAAAACCTCCAATCTCCTGATTAGATGTCTTGCTGCTGGATGTAATTTATCATCATACCATGGACTATGTGGTAACTGTCATATATATATATATATATATATATATATATATATATATATATCTGATATTGGGCACTTTATCCTATAAATATAGCACATCTTAAGATTATATTTCTTCATATATATATATATATATATATATATATATATATATATATAAATAAAAGTGAACATAGATATCAACACTTAGAGGTGACAGTCTGTTTCATGCTAGATGCAATCGGCAGACTGTTTAGTTGACTT